GTCTGGATGTAGTATGATGTAGTCCAGACCAAAAATGACCCTGAGCCTATAAGTAAACGGACATAGTCTAGACGTAGTCCCAACATGTTTTGGAAAACCGACGTAGTCGGACGTTGTCGCCTTTTTCCTGCATTTTCTGCGACGTAGTGCGGACGTAGACATAGTCCAAACGTAAGCACACTCTCTGCTGTCTTGCAAGCGCAGGCAGCGTGCCGCCTTCCTTTAGGCTCGAAATTCCTATCGGCTCCTGCAGCTTTTTTTGGCAGCCGGCTTACGCAAAAACAAAAGAGAGGCGATGAACCGCATTACCGCCTGCCACAGTGGTGGCGTCGAGCTGCGGATGATCTCATGTTGTTGTCGTTGCGGCGGTTGTCTTTGTTTGTGCCTGCGTGCCGTATATCGATATGGGGTTGATGGCATGTTGCCACTTTGAGCTTGGCTGTGGTTGCTACGCCTTGTAAGTTTTATCGCTTCAGATTCGGTTTCGTTGCGCAACACAGTCAGACTTACGACTTACGATGCTCTTAGCTGTAAGCTGACATGTAATCTGCACCCCGTAAGTTAAATATAACTCCGACAAGTCAACGTATAAGCGAACCGGAGCATTCATTCAATGTTGCCGTCCATCTGCTCAAGCGAGGCGCTTGTCGTAACATTCAGATCCAACCCTTCCAGTGCTATCCATTTTTACGTATGTGGACCTACTTATTATATTAGTCTATTAGTTCTATATAAGCTCCAGGAAGGGTCTTTAGCATCGAAGGCATCACATGATCTGGGCGGTGGAACAATCGTAACTCTCCATGTGCACGCGAGCATGTGTACAATGTGCTCTTTTGTCACTCAGTGTTGCGCCATCTGAAACAGCTGGCTATGCTTATATTGCCTTTCATATCCTTTCGTCCCGTACCGGGGCAATTCAGAAATACAGTTTGGAGCTCTGATCTACATTTGAACTCAGATCCGGGTTGATCTGAAAGTAGTTTGATGCCAACCATTAAGATGAGCTGTGCTCAAGGTTCAAAGGCTACCCAAACTCGCAAAAACAACATTAGTGCAAACTGATGCTCTGTCGGAGAATATCGTGCTTAGCTTGAGAAGACTCCTCTCAGGGCATCCGGTGATGGTCGGAGCAGGTCCAATGCAGATGCGGGCAGCTGCTGGCATTGTTGTGCTCCCAAGAACCACATCTCAAAACTGCACGTCCGATTCAGCAGGGAATAGGAGTAGGTCATTCCGCACTCACGGTACAGAACATTGTTGGAAATTAACATACCTCGAACAGGCGGTGCAGAACTACACCTCAAACGCCAACACCGAACAGAAACTCGCACTTCGCCTCTTCTTGCAACTCGCCGAATGCCCTGCTTGACAGAACCCCCATCTAGTTGTCAATATGTCCAACTCATCTTGATATGTACAGTTAGTAACGTCGTCTAATGATGTGGCTCTGGTCTGTGCCAGCAACAGCCGAGCTCGGCCGACACCCCATGATTCAATCACGGAATGCCTCCAACTTCAGATGGGAGCGAGTCCAACGACATCTCCTGCTTGTCCTACCCAGTATGCTCTACTCTATGGTCCCCCCACTGACTGGTTCCTAGACAGCATCGCAAGGCAGAATTTATTAGGCAGCTCATAGAGTCGTACAGTAACTTCAGCTGTGATAATCCGATAGTCATCAAACTTAACAGCCCAGGCTGCTTTAAACAGCCGGGGGACTGCTAGGACCCGGCCCGTGGCCGGGAGCCCATGCCCGCGGGCTGGCGCGAGGCACCTCGCATCATTTTCATCTCCTTAGATGCAGATTTCGTGGAGCAGGTGACTTTCACCGTATCGATGTAGAAACGAATACGTAAATGAATCGATACGTATGTGTGAAGGTGTACAAAAATGTATGTGTACATACAGTCCCAGATAAGCATGTGCACATTAGATATAAAGCAACTAGACGCACTACCATATACCTATCGAGCAGGGCTTTGGGGATTCCGGTTGCCCAACTCATGTCAATGGAAACCTCGGCCTGGGGCTACGGTCTTCCTGACGATCGTTTTTGTTCCTCGACCGTTGGGACAGGAGTGCCGGATAAGCAAAATTCAGTATGTCGCATGCAACCTAATCACCAACGGCATGCCAAGCCCAAATGCAGAACGGAAGTAACGGAAGGCTAGCAACGGGTCGCACTTGTAATTCGCCAAGCTCTTTAGCTAAGCCGTGGCTACTACCAAAAGCCAATACCCAGCGTCTCTCTTCCGCCTCTTCAGGATCGCCACGTTCGCGGCGCCAATCCTGGACGATGCATGCTATGCGTATGCTGGTACACGGCGTGACGATGCCAATGTGATTGGAAGCCGCCGCCCATCTCCATCACAGGCTGAAATTGGGATTGAGTCGATGCGACAAGCGCACGCGATTCCACGTCTACCACCGAATAAGCCCCGCACGCGTCCGGCATGAAATCCATGACATACCTGGGCGATTGCAGCTGCTGGAAGGTTCTGTTCAGTTGATAGTGTGCGCACCTGTTAATACCAAGCGAGCGCATGGGTGGCTGGTTCGTACCGAGCTGCTTCTTCAGCCATGCGGCCGTTGCAACCTTTCGGCATCGAGGCTTTGGAGGCATTCCAGCTACAGTTTGTGTAGCTTGAACTATGCTTCATGCTTCAGGCTCATGAAGTCTGCACAACCCTTTTTGCTACAGGTTTTGGCCGCTTCAGCCACGAAGCGTGTCTCTGGAAAACCCTACAGCCTGAAGCTTTAGTCCGGAATTCTCGTTACTCCCCCTTATGACCACAGCCTACCGGGTCGGGTTGAGGAGCGGCCACGGCCCCGGTTTTTACTGGAATTCGTATCATCTCTCGGTTGAAGTTCAAAGGCTCGTCGCAATGACGGCTGTTTCCGAAGGAGCAGCAGTACCAAACAGCCGGAAGAACTACTAGCAGCCCTGCTAGTAGTTGGGTGTTAGGTCTCGCGCTCTCTGGTGCAACCTATCCGTAAATACCAGGTCAAAAGCCCGGCCCTAGTCATGACAAAGGTTACTAGTTGACTGGAGTTACTACAACTCCATTCCATTTCAATGTACACCAGACGCACAGGCAAGACAGACACATGTTGCTGCAAAATTTCAACCTTGGAGGATATCCCGACATGTACCCTGCTTCTTCGTTGGAGTATACAAATACGACATGGACGCCCAAAACGAGGGCCTCCGTCCTTGATGGGTCTGTGATCGTCGCGTAGGGTACACAACATTGCAACGCGGATCGGCGTTGCTCCAGCTACATGTTCAAAAGCAACAGCCCTGCTTCTGGAAACATTATTTTCCGCGGAGCCCAAGGCTTCCAAGGCAAAGTTGGCGCAATGCAGAAACGATGGCAGGCCAGAGATGAAACGTCGTCGAAACCAAAGACGTTGAGGGAGGCTTTGCCCAGTTGGCCAAAACATTAACACACGGGAGCCCGCATTGGCTCTCGGCGCGAGAGGACTTCCCGCGAATGCCCTCCTGTGCAGTGGTGGAGGTTCCTCGTCGGACACTCATAGGATATCATAGGATATCACACTGAATTGCAAGAAAGCACTTGGTTGTACAGCTGCAATTCCAAACCAGATGCTAAACACGAAGTGCTGACACTTCCAACAAGTAGCAAATTTTTCTCTGAGTATCTTGTGTGGAAAACAGTCGGAACGGAAACAGGTGCTTTAGAGTTAGAGAGCTGCCTATGGCGCCCCGGTGTTCAGCGTCAGTACCCGGCCACGTCGGCCAATGAGGCTGCTGCCTGACAGTTTAGAGTTCAGGGTTTTGGGCTATCGAAGCGGGTTTGGGGCCTCCGACTCCAGCTTGGAGAACCGGGCGAGGCTTCTGATGATCACCACTCCATGCAGGTCTACAGGAGCCTACAGAGCGCACGCGAACCTTCCAGCTTCGAAGGGCTGTGGCACTCTCATGGTTGCTTGGTTGTCGCAAGTCTTACGACTGCTATGACAAATTGCCGTTTGAAGGGTAGGTATAGGCAGTCATGGCTTGGACCAGGATGTTTCACCCAAGACTACATATTTGTATATATATATATATATGTGTGTGTATGTGAATATATATATATATATGTTTCTATATATATATGTATATATATATATATGTATATAAATGTATATATAAGTATAAATGATACATACATATGTAATGTTATTGCTATGTGTGTGTGTGTGTGTTTGTGTGTGTCTCTCTCTTCTTCCCCAGGGCATGAGGGGTCGGTTAGACCCTCTCTCTCTCTCTCTCTCTCTCTCTTCTCTCTGTACCTCTCCCTCGCTAAATGTGTTTTCTGACACAGCTGCACCTGGCACCACTGTGGGCAACCGTGCAAAGCAATCGATGCCCATTGCTCATTGCACTATCCACAAGTGACCTTGAAGCCTCTGCGCTTCAAGTACAGCGCATCTCGTTGACTTACGAGTCCTCGTAACAAACGTTGGCCTGCAGCTCAACTTTTTGTAGAATCGCAAGCACTCATAAAAAGCCGTCAGAGAACCCAGACCTAAACCCTAAACTCTCCAAAGTCCGGCACCTCCCCCGCCCCTGAGGATGCCTTTCAAGTTCAGGACCGGCATAGCTGGAGCGGGCGTCACCGGGCTGATAGGTTCCGTGCCAGGGTCGTCCTTGGATGGTTCAGGGTTTATATGGTCTGGGGGAGGGGTCAGGGGCCAAGGGTCAGTAAGGGAATTTCGACAAAGCCAGTTCGGACATGGCACGGGGTCTTCCGTTTGGCAGCAAAGCCGCAGCCTACGTCGAAGCCGACAAACCACGACGACCAACATTTACAGCACCCGACGAATCTTCCGCATGCACTTCACAACCCACTCACGCCAACTTTGCAAACTAGCAGCATCGATCGAAACGGGAGGCTCGCATTCGGATGACATGTCCAGAATTCGTTATTCGGGCAGCTTCTAGGAACGTCACGGTTACTCAGACTAGGCTGGGTTTTGCATCCTCAATTTCTTTACTCTAAGGAAATGCTCATCTCGGCGCAAATCTCAGCACCAAACCACCAAGCTTCGAGTGTACCCACGCTCTCCGTCTGCAAAGATGTGATTCTTGGCCGACGAAAAATCTCCATAGAGCTGCGCGTGCCCGAATCACTAGAAAGGTCCAGGCTGTCGTTTCTTCCGGCCACGCCCTGAAACCTCGGCTGCAGTGTGTTCTGGCGTAAAGCTGTCAGCCATAACAGGTAAAGGGTAGGAAGAACAAACGGGTCTGCATGATAGCTGAGGCACGCATCCAAAGGGACCTCGTCCGGAAGGTCTCCCAGCAAGCTGTACAGATTGTCCCAGGAGAAATGGTCTGAGCGAATCGAGTCGAGATAGTCCTGATACCTTGGAGGACACGCGAGAAACTGCTCACGAATCCCACCAGCTTACAGTATACTATATGATGTACTAACTTGATACACACTATTATAAGAATAGTAGGATGCAGTTTAGCCCGGCTTGAAGGCCATTAATCATTAGGGGTTCGACTCGTGAACCGCACGAAACCATTCGTTCTTAGAGGTTTAGGGATTCGGGGTTGAGGGTCAAGGGGTCTAGGGTTCATTATGTGTATTTAAGACTGATCTTCGGGGACATCAGGCCCCGCAAGCTCTGATCTCTGCAAATCCATTTGCACAGTACCACTGAACGTGCGAGCAATGAAACAGTACCAATCTTAAAAGGCCTAAACCTGCCTGCAAACACTCTCCTGCAGCAGCCCCGGCCCTCAGATCAAGCGACAGTACCTAGACTCGCCGACTCGCCAAAATTACTTGCAACTGCTTCTGCAAAGTTGCCGGTTCCTCGAGCGCGTTCGAGACCGAGGGGACAGCACATCGTACTGTACATCCGCTCCCACAACATGAACCTGGAAGCTTCTCTCACCGGGGGCATGGGGAGCGTGCGCGAGACTCCCGAGCTGTCCCTTTCCAACAGCCGGGTTTGGGCGATCGCAGCTCTCAACTCCAAAACAAGGCTGCAGGAGAACGGGAAGCTCCCTCCGAATGTACAGGAGAGATGACTCAGCGCACTGACGGCTTGCGGATGTCTACGGTCGCTGTACCGGTCTGGAAAGGCATAGGGCTGGCAGGGGATCGGGATCAGGATGTGCTCATTGGTGGCAATGGCTTCTTACGGTCCTAGAAATTGTTACCAAGAACTCCGAAGCGGCATGGGGCTGGCTGCACCCGAACAATCCCGAAAACGTCGCAAACACACAGGAGTCCGAAGCTACATGTGCGTCGTAGTGCTCGTGTGTGGCTTCTCGACCTACACACTGTTTCGGCCTCAACAATTTGAATAAGGTTCTGGGGCACATTACAATGACAATGTGAACTAATGTTGGTGACCAATCAAGCTTCTATATAGCCAGCTCTTATGACAGTGGAATTTCGCACTAGGAACCCTATAGAGCTTCTCGTATGTTCCGTTCTGAGCCCCACCTCCCACCATTGAAGCCGCGCATGGCGAAGCTGAGACTCTTCTTCAGCTTCCTTCCAAGAAAGCCCAGGCCCACGCGAATCAACGCTAGTGCAGTGCAGGCCGTAAATTGTCTGAGATGCTACGTCCCAGTTCAGGGCCGGCACCAGAACCTCCAATTTTTGGTGCATCAAGTAAGATTCGTGCAACGCCATGTGCCAACAGCATGTGGGGGGAATGTACCGTCGATTTAGGTGTGCATCGTGTAAACACCGACTCAAGGGCTTGATATCATACCCGGAAATCCTCGACCTCCAGAAGCGACCAGACTAAGAGCGCATATCCCGAAGAAGAAACGGTAGCAAGAAGCACGAAAGCGTCAACACCGAAAGCATGAACACCAGACTCGAACATTCTCCTTGTGCCAAAGATCAGCGGACAGGTCAGTCGAGGGCGGTGTATGTTCAAGCGCAGGTGCCTGCGCGAAGTAAGGCAAAGCAGGCCCTGAAACTCCCGCTTGAGGAATCAGAAGCAGACGCACAGTGGCCTAGTCAGATCGTGTGCAGCAGTGCAGCAATGACAATGTGTGGGTGACTCCCGGTGTACTACCCGAAGAGCCGCGATGAACCTGGCCATGTGAGCAGAAGCATAGACCACAAACCCTCAACGAGGACTGGCACCTCTGCATCGGCGGCAGGGGTTGGAGCCATCATGTCCGCCTGAAATTACGGGTTCGCCAAACATTTTTCGGGTACAGTGTCATCTCGTGCCATATAAGTTGCAGAAGAGCCTTTCGAGCCCATCGAATCTGCGTTGTGGGGTTCTGGTTCTTGCGCACCGCACGCATCAAATCCGGGCCTAATTAAATGACAGTAATCCGACATCATTGTGGCAGTATATACAAGCAGCGGCGGTCGCAACAGCAGCATCAGCACCGTGGCTGCGCAAACAGTGAAATCGACAACGACGACGACCACAATTGTCATGCGGCAGGACTTCACTTTTTTCATGTCGAGGCTCAGAATCAGAGCCAAAATGAAAAGCATCAGGAAAGCAACTCACAGCGGGCAAATGCCCAAGACGTTAACAATGTTGTCTGACAGTCGCGTTGTGCAGACTTGTTGAAGGCCCCCTACCAGAAGTCGATGGCGGTTAAAGATGCAGGGCAGCTGGATCCTGTATGCTTCAGCCTCTGGAAGCCGTGAGGCTGGGATAATCTGGAACTGCAAACCCTGGAATACGAAAGTGACTTCAGGCTTCGACTCTCATGGCTTGGCACGGTCTCTAGGTTTCGCCGGGCGAGGGCCCGAGCGAAGACCACAGCTGTATGCAGAAAAGATGGACATCGGAGTCGGATGATCGAAAGGGAAGCAGTCAAAGCACTGACAACTGTGAGGAAGCTGAAGAACACAAGCAATTAATGGCAACACTCTTTTGCAACTGCGACGACGACGACGGCCACGGCACCTACAATAAAGGGGCGCTACTGCCCTTGGTCCTCTTCCCCATCATCTACTACTCCTCCTCCTACTACTACTACTGCTGCTGCTGCTGCTGCTGACTACAACGACGACGACGACGACGACGCTTACGACAAGCGCAACGTGAAGCGTTCCACCACTGCTCTGGAGCTGGCCCACGACAACAACAGCTGTGACCACTTTCCCGACTTCTGCTCCTGCTCGTACTTCCTCCCGTCGACTACGACGAGGAAACTTGCTGCCAATGATGAGAGCTGTGCCCATGCCCGCGCTGGTGTCTGCACTCAGAACTCTAGCTTTGCACAGGCCTTATACTGATTCGCATGAACCCCCGCACCTCGGTAATCATGAAGCTGAACTGGTCCTCGACAAAATCCACTGCAGGCTTGGCTTGGTCTGTAACTATTTTTGTTTCGACGTGGTTTCCCCTGACTTAGAGCTATTGACTCCGTATGTCTCTTAAACAAAATTTAAAACCGCTTCTCCAAAACCAATGCTCCGGCACTTCTGGCTTTAATGATGTCGACGGACAGTGGAGCAAGTTCTGCTTGCACAGTGTCACAACGAACCTCTCAAGGAGTCAATTAGTACTCGATTCTGCTTAACATGCTCAAAAATGTTCGTGTGTTTTGTCAGTTTTGGGCTCTTTCTGCTTCTTTCAGGGGTTCACCGTCCAAACGCATGAGAAACAGAAGTGCATAGCATTTCTTGGCATAGTGGCCTGTTCGGAAACCAGGCTGGACGTAACCTTATGGCCTTAGCTCCCCTTGACACGGGCGTGGCCATGGCTATAGCCGAGCCAGTGTGAGAATAGTAGGCTCATCGCATGATCTATACGGTCCTCTTGCCACTACGGCTGCGACCTCTTCTGCGAATATCTACAACAACATCAACTGGTCCTAAGTAAGTGCCGGGAATGAAGTTCCGTTGACGGCTCCAGCCAATTTTGCAGCCTCTACCATGTGTAGTCATTGTAGTCGTTTGTCGTCCCTTCTTCTGATCCTATTTCCAGAGTTATACCTGTTTCCTCCAGTGCAAAAGTGAGGGGCGTGAAACGTCTTGGGTGTGAAGGAATCCGGAGAAGCGAATGACTGCTTCTGCCAGAAATGGGCCATGAGGCCGCCTCGGCTGCTTGAATTTTCAAGTTTTTTTTCCCACCCGCCCAGCTGACTATGTCGCACCGCAGGGAGTTCGTCGGAAGGATGACTCGAGAGGAGGGTTAAATTGAGGGTTTTGGCTTTAGTGTGCAGGTTCCGCACTTGCTTCGGAATTCGGACTTGAAGGCGCTTGTCTGCTACTGACTGCTACTGCTTGGCTGACATTTTCGGGGTTCATCACGTGCCCACACAGGGGGCAACAGGCCCAATGAGACATGGGCAAGTTCAGTCATATGGAATGATGGGAAGCCCCAAGCAAGGAACACACACGATACACACACACACAAACACACAAACACACACACACACACACGTCAGCCACGAAGTGTTTGAACCAGCCCCTGCGCAAGAATGGCTGCCTCAGCGATGTCCGTGATCGGTATCTGGTCATCGAATCATTCTACAGTAAGACACAACGAAGCAAGCATAACACAAAAGCATATGACAAGTTCCCAGAGCATTCGGCGAACGCCTGTGATGCTACAGTACATTCCTCAAATGATAGCCAGCACCCCAAGCCTGAAATCACTAAACTCACCCTGTAAGGCGAGCGGCTGCAGTAAGGAATTGAGCCCACATCCCAAACAGATGTGCTGGGAAGCACCTTCCTGGCACCAGGTTCCAGACATCATGAGCGATCAACATGACCAAGCCGATCAAGCGAACCAAGCAAGGGTTTCGAAACAAATCTCTGCAGGAAGCCATCCTGAGTCCAAGGAGCATGCAAGTCTGCACCATGATGCCGTGAGACACCACGATCAAATTCTTGCTCCCACGACGGCTTCTGCTCAAATATCGCCTAGGTTCGATCTCGGGTGGAGCTGAAGGGGCCTTCAAAGCAGACCGGACAATCCATGGAACCGGATGGCTGAATCCCTAAACCCCAAACCGCCTCAAACCCTACACCGTTCTAAGTTCTAAACCCATACACCATCCTGCACCCATGTGTTTCAAGGGCCGGGGGTGGCATCTTCAGAAAGGCCGCAGAAATCGTCGCGCGTAGCGCTGCCGTGCAGCCGGGATCCGCTCCCCCCATTTTGGGGCCGAGCCTGCAGAGAATAAGCAAAAAAATGTACTCCACGGGCCGTAGAAATATGAATAGGGTTTTGGGGTATACTAGGGAATCAGTATGGTATCATTATTGAAAGTAGTTACGTAACTACAGTAAGATACGGAATCTTAAAGATTCAAAGCCCCCACCTTACCCTGCAGTGGTCGAGCTGGAGAGCTTCAGTTCGTCACTGCGCACCCCTAAAACAACAGAAAATATAGAACCTGCTTGTAGAAAATTTAAAAAGTCTGCAACTCAACACCTTTGAGTGAGAGAGGCCTCGCACTCGAACATTCCAGCGGGAAGCTTCGGAGGCAGATGCCGCCCTCATTTCTCCAAAGAGTTCCCCTTTGGCCCTTTGGCCCCCAAACCGACCAAAACCCACAAAAGGCAAAGCAGAGGACCCGCAACCTAAACCCGACACCACCAGAGCGAATTGGAAGATGGGGAACCTGGCCTAGCACCCTCTGCCAACAAACACGGCGAGCTGGGGCCATGGAGAAGCCCTTCTCCAGCTTCCTACGGCCATGTGCGAGAAGCTGCCGCTGTGTGTAATATGTATACAAATGTATATATATATATGTATATATATATATACATATGTGTCAGTCCATCGTTTTTACCTAGGTATATGCATAAACACACATAGTGTAAATCTATAAACACATAAATAAACGAGCAAACAAACAAATAATTAAACAAATAAATAATGTATATATATATGTATATATATATGTGTATAATATGGTGCGCCTATATGTCACCTACATGTGTGCAGTTCTGCTCGGTATCGAAGTCATTCGAAGTCCACGGAATCAAATCCAGCCGAGGGTCGGCTCCCAGGCCTCCAGGGCCTTCAGGGCTTAGGGATACTCAATAGTAACACTGAAAATAGCAAGAAGAAGAACAATAACAGTATCAATAAGAATCACGTTTCATAACAAGTTAGGTAAATTAAACATAACAATCACTGCAACATCTCGATTATCATGATAACAAGATCGCAAGCCAAACCAAACACGCCAGGTCTGCACGTCGGCAAAAGCTGGCGAGTTGTTTTCGTGATTAGCGGCCCTTTTCTGCTCTACATCTCTGAGAACGAGGCTTACGTTGTTGGTCCTAAAGGGTTTTAGGATGAGGGCTCGAGCTTTGGAGTTCATGCGGCTGCAGCACGTCGAAGACTTGAAAGTGCTGCAGATCCGTTATACTGTGCCTGTAGAGCTTCAGGGCTTCCTGCCGGGAAAACAGGAAGCTTTCAGTCCGAGGGTATCTTCTTTAGGTCAACCTTTCCACACAAAACAGCTTGCAGACTTTCCGCGAGTTTACCCGTGCCACTGAAGGAGTAGATTCCCAGAACGGTGCATGAGCCCGAGTCCCAAATGCGGAATCACGTGCCTTATGCAACTCGTGTCGCGTGCGCCATGCACGTGGGCGCGCGCCTGCGGGAATCCAACGACTGGTGATCCAAGCTCCCACATTTTTCAGAACCCATTCCCTGGAAGCTTGAACGTAATTCGTGATGTATGTGACTGTCAAGAAGACTCGAGATGTACTGTGACTTACTGCATCATGTTGTAGAGATAAACTCCGACATCACAGTGGCATCGCCATGTAAGCTCCTAGCGTTGTGATGGTGTCAAGGTTGGGATGTCAATCGGTAAAACGTGTAACCGAAAACAAACATACAGGAAACGATGGAGCAAACACTGCCACAACAACGGCGATGATGCTGCTGCTGCTGATTGCGGCGACATGTGTACATGTGCTGATAGCTGTGATTATGATTAGGAGCATGCTGCTGGAACAGGCACTAATAAAGCCGCTGAAGTGGATCTGGATGAAGAAGGTTCTAAGAGTAACATCATGACGAGGATGAGGGAGATAACGGATGCACACGGTTAGATTCTGCATGCTATTCATGAGAACGGCAACAGTACATACGATGACAAAAATGGCCCGAATCATGACTGGTGGTTGGCCACATTTAGTCAAACTTAGTCGCACTTACAAGCTTGTAGTAATCATGGCGATGATGGTGAGGGTGGTGGTGCTGGGAGGAGGTGTTGCGCAAGATGCTGATGGTTGATGTCACAACGGCCATGCCCTGTTCTGACGACGACTTGATCGGCTTCCACCATCACCAACACCGCCGCCGCACCAGCACCAGCAGCACCACACGTCCACTGCCGCTTCTTGTGCTTGTCTCTCTACGGCAACTGAACCCACGAAAACTGCAACATCAGCAGTGGCAACCCAGCAGCAGCTGTCACAGCGCACGCCATAGCATTGAAACAGAGGCGACAAGATGCCAGAAACTCGACACTTGGTGAAGACTGCTGAAGGACGCGGCTAGTTCCGCACCACGCGACAAATCCTGCATTCCTCAGAACCGCATGCATGAGGATCTTGGTCGTGCTTAGCTTCTCAAAAGTCGAAGGTTTCCAGGGCACAGACGGTCATAAATAAGCAAGCACTTTGCGCAAAGGAAAGAACAACGCAAACAAAGCTGTGCATTCGCGGCTAGTCATTGAAACGAAGGCCCCCTGCAATTGGCTACCCCTGAATCCCAAATGCCAAGATATTCCGAAGACAAGGTAACACAAGCTACTTCATCTTGAGGCCTAACTCTCCGAAGATGTCGGGGCCGAAGACTTCGCCCAATTCCTAAGCGTGGCACCAAGCCCATCGGTAGCTTGTGTTTCAGTGGATCGCTGGCAAGCGAACCAATTATCTGGTGCATCTGGAGGTTGTTGAGCCGCACATGCAGCTGGCTCTCGGAATCGAGTTGGCAAGATGTGTGTCGTCGTCATGAAAGGACAAGTTGGAACTGCAAAGCCAGCATCGTGTTTACAGAACTACTTCACGATAACGCCCTTCCAGCATCCATGCGACCCCCTCAGAATAGATTCTGCCCGACGGAAGACATCCGAAGCCACTTGTATGAAGTCACATTCTCCTGCCCAGATGCTTGGTCGAGGAGAACCACCAGATCCAACTCATCAGCTATTGCCACGGCTGTCTGGACACAGCGTAGATACGGCGAGGAAACGATGATGCCATAGTCGCCAAAACTCGGTGAGGCAGGTTCTGAAACCCTGAAAAACGTGTTGGCGCATGGTCTATCCATGAAGGCCATGACATGAGGAGACAGTAGCAAGAAGAACCAGATCGAAGAACCCACACACGACTTCCGGAGAAGAAGAGCACTATGTATGAGGGCAAAAACTGCACCAATCAGTCCTTATATGCAAACAGTCCAGTATCAATCGTCAGAGTAAGAAACAACTCAACGGCGTCACAGTACCTTGAAGAGACCCTAGAACCTAAACTCCCGAACGAAGGCAGAGGGTATATTCAGCTCCCTGGATCTTGCTTCCGAGGCACTCACGGAGTGTATGTGCCACCTCCTTGGCGGCCCTCACGCCTAGACCAAGGTCAGAACTGGATATCATATGGGAGAATGAAGAACTGAAGGGTTCGGGGAAGTTGTCAAATCTCGGCGCAGCTGAGCGCAAGGGTTTTGGTGGATGTCTTGAGCAGCCACGGCTAAAACTGTCATTCGATGTAAGCAGGGTGGCAACCAGGCTTCCTGTCACTCTTCCGATGGTTGAAGGTTCCGGGCGTTCGTCCCCTCCCTCCGGCAACAACCATGGACAAGGACAGAGATTCGGAAAGCCGAGAAGACGAGCTCAGCTAACTTCGAAGCTTGTATGCTCCAAGTTTTGACTGACAAGAAACTGTCGACCAGTCGGGGGCGTTTCAGCTTCCGGCTTTCGACGTCGGCTTTGGACTGGCTGGCAAAGAACACCGGGCCGCGTTAAGGGTCTCCAAGATGTTTCATGGCTCCGGGTATGGGGTCGGATGAATTGCGCTGTTACATGCATTCGGACAAGCAGCCAAAGACTCCCGAAGGTCATTTAATTGTCCTACATCGAACCCCCCCACCCTCGTCAGTGATTGGACAATCTCCCGGATGTTTCGCTGCGTCCTCCGTCTGATGCCAGCCGGAATCGAAAACCTCGGCGCCCATCCGTCAACTGGCTTCCGAACTTTCACCCTCGATTTCCTGTGGAGGACTCGGGGATCCTGACATGTGAGAAAGTCTGGACGAGAATCCAATGGAACACTTTCAGTGTGTTACTAAAACGGGCTGGGGGTATAAGCAGAGATGCAGCGTCCTGGCGCTCGCCATGCCGAAGGACGGCCACGGAGGCCTGAGGCCTGTAAGCCATCTCTGCACCTGCACCGGGCGTTGGATCGGACTAGCCAGGAGCCCATGTTTGCCTGGTGTATTGATGGTTTTATAGCCCTGTGCATGAGAACCCATCCAACAAGCCTACCCGAGTATGGTAGGGACGGTAGGGGCGCGAGTTGCGATGGGAAGGAAAGATCACGCGGTTCGGTGTTTGTGGCCCGCCGTAACTCCTATTATTTCCCTCTGTCTGCTTGCACATGTCCACCGCCCTTATTGCAGTTCGACTCGTGGCACAAGCTGCGTAAGACAAAGGGTAGTCTGAAGCCTCATCAACTGGCTTCTTGACTTGATGTGCGAGATTCCCTTCGGCGATCTTTCTATGAATGTGGTTGTTTGGCTCACAGACTCGAGACGCTGTTTGCTAAGACATTCTCGAGAGTCTTCCTGTGGCAGGAGGCCACAAACTGTCAAGTAAAAACTCACCCAAACTTCGGTCTCTAAATCCTTTCTAGAACTCTTAACTGCAGAATCCAGGTAGAATCATCAAGCAATCGAACCCCTACAACCATAAACCCCTCATTAATATACTATACCGCGAAGCCCTATTCTAAATATTCAGGCGCCTTATTTTATGCAAAGACCAAAAAAATCTGATGCAAGCGACGATCTCCGGAGCCGCTCTGGCGTTCGACCTCGAGAGGCAGCGCTGGCAAGTCCTGGCCGGCCTTGGAAAATCGGAGGTTCCATTTGGGAGGGGTTTTGGGATTTCGGATATTAAGGGAAATTAGGGCCCTGGGGGGTGTGGGGTAGGGAAGGGCTAGCGGCTAGAGTAAACTACTTGTTGACTAGTTGCTGCGGCCTCCTCTAGGACTTTATGTTGCCACGCGGGCGTGTAAGCAGAAAACAACTGGATGTTTGCATGAAGCTGGACCCTGCTCGATGTTTCTCGTTGACTTGGGGTGGAAACCACAGGTTGTCAGAAACGCGACAAAAGAGCATGATCAGTATTGGTACCACAAGTTTTGTTTGAACGCATGACTCCAACCTAGCAGCATTCAAAGGTTACAGCAGCAATTCATCCATGACTTTGCAGTTGTCCATGCTTTACACGGTCATGGTACACTCCAGGGGCTCATGTGGTTGCTCATTCCTCGCTTTCCCACTTCAAGACCCGGAAGATGTGAGCCTCCCAAAGCCAACCCTCTCTCGCTGTTGCTCTTGCGCTTGCCCAGTCCAGAATTGTTCGATGCCTCGTCGGCAAGTGGGCCGACACTCGGGCTCGAAGAGGAAGCCCGCGACATCTTGAGCTCTTCCTGGGGGCCACGCAGCGATCTTCGATGCGTGTTTCACGATCGTTCCAAGCAAAGCGTCGGTAGGGCCCGGTAGGAAAGTCAGGGAGTGCTGCTAAGTCGTGAAGTCCATAACCCTGCGAAGGTTAGGAAGTTGTTTAAAGAGCAGATGTTTGAGGTCGTCGTCTTCCTTGTGGGGCACGGGGACCTTCAAGAAGATCTCTGCCCCGACACTGGACAGCGCCCGGGGCCCAGGGCCAAGGGCCGGGGCTAGGGCCACGACAACAGCAAAGGCAAAAAAGGATGCGTTGAGGAAGGTTTGGGCAGCTCTTGGGTAACAGCTTCTTGAGCTGGTTTCCAAGATCTTGCGAACCTGCCAAAGATGGCATGCCCAGACATTGACAACGAAAAGCACCATCAGAGCAGCGAGTCTCGGCGATTGAAGCCAAACTTCTTGCCGGCATGGGCTTAGGCGCGGCCGCCCCCTCGACGGATGGAAGCTGCACGAGCTGCATCCAAGATCTTCCTTCACGATCCTCGTCGCGACTTGAGGTGTCCTTGGAGGGTCTTGGATGTCCTGGCGTTTAGGGAAGTTCATGTCTTCAAGAACTTCTGCAAACATGATACCACGGTCCGGTTCACGAGATGTTCAGGCTGGCTCGACAAGGTCTCTGAACATGGGAAAGACACTTTCAGGTTGCATGCGAGCATCATTGAAGGACCGAAGTTGCTCCATGCTCTGTGCGTTGGCCTGGCTCCTTTCTGCCGCAGCCCAGACTGTGTGAACCACGGAAGCATGACCCCAGGAGTGCAAGAGCAGCAGCACGACTGTGCCAATCATGAACCTCGCGAACTCGCAGGAATTAGGACAGATGATTCGAAAGTGTTGAGCATGTCTTCGTGTGCCTTCCAACTCAAAACTCCCTAAACCCCCAACTCCTAAAGCCTATATCAAAATAACCTAAAACCCTAGCCAGGAGGCTGTATCAGCGACGCGGGGTGCAGCCTCCAGCCCGGGACCATGCCTTGCGGGCTTAAGATGACCCAGGGTCTGCGGAACGGCTGTCGAACGTATTTCTCAGGCCGCTGTGATCATGGTACCGAAAACGCCCTTGCCTAGAGGTAGCTAGGTTGTTGTTAGTGTTTTGTTTTGGGGGACAGAGAAGGCCGTTGAGACCAAAGTTGCTCCACCCAAGAAGCGATAAGCTCAACTCAACCCGACACGAGAAAGGAGGGACGGCTGCTGGCAAGACCTCATTTTGAAGGTGTCATACAAGCTGCTATGAGAATGGCTCTAAACGGCACGGCTGCGCAGCTAAGTTTCGAGGCTGTCGCCCAGTCGCACCTCCTTTCTCCCGTCGTTTAGTTCGAATGCTTACAGTATCTGACAGAGCTGTGCAGCAGGCGCCTTGCAACCATGAGAGGTATGTGCAACACAGGACTACGGCCACGAACATGACGATGGGGTGCACCTTTGCTCCCGGTTCAACAAGAAAGGCTTGGGATGACTGTCCGAGGCTTACTACTGCTACTTTGGCTGATCATTCCCGTCCATGCTACTTCCAAGATCATGTAACTGTAAGGCTCAGGCATCTCTGCGACGAGCCACCAAGCGCATGAAAAAACGCAAGTTGATGAGGTGTTGGCATCTGGAGTCTGGAGGATGACGATGCGCAGCTAATGCAATCTCCAGCTAGAAGACCCTTCAGAAGTTTTGATTTGGGAGTGGCTTCGAATGAGCTTCCTGTGCATCAGTGTCTGGCAATGCCACTGTGTTTGGGAGTACATATACTACGGGTGCCTAGCTGCAGCAGTTGTCTGCAGACGTGGTGGATTCGCCCAACCTCCCCATTTCATCCTAAACTCCGTGCCCGTATGTGCAAGTTAACCAGCACACGAGCTTCACGCCATACCTGCCACATTTCCTAATATGTGGCCCCAGCATCGCAAGCCACAGCAAGCAGCACGGCAGGTCTCTGAGTCGGATTGCGAGGCAGTGCATCCAAGGAAGTGAGATGCCCACTCCGCGACACATGATGATACATGATGGCTGTTTTCACTACTCCAGCCCATCAGCTCACTCTCTCGGTGCGATGCAAGGAAGAACATGAGAAGATTTCTTTCAGAGCTTTCGATCAGGCATCAGTGGAATGTGTGCGTTCTCTTGCGGTGCCGGGTGTGCAAATCTCAGCTTGCCATTGAATGCTGTTTGCGGGTGGAGCTTGTGGTCATTTGTGGACCCCTAGGGGCGCGAAAACCACACGCTACCACGACAAGTCTGCAGCATCACAACGTGGGCATCTTTGCTCAGATCTTGTTGCTCTCTGTCCACCGTGTGTGGCCAGATCCATACATGAACTTGCGAAGCTGATTCGGTCGGCAGCACAAGCAGTGCAGGATATGCCAAGATACATGGGAAAGGGAGAGCACGAAAAGGGCTTCGGCCATTCCCACCTTATCTTCAGTCGAAGTGGGGCTGCAGACCCTCCGACAGAGATAAGATGTCGTGGCCTAGACGAATGTCTGTGTTAGGTCTGCTTTTTTTGGTCAGGGCTTCGAGACCGAAAAAATTGGAGCCTTTTCTGCATAAACAAGAAGCTAAAAACTGCAACAACACCAAATAGCCTCACGCAGGAAGGAAGACATGGATGATAAAACAACGCCCTAGACTCTACAGGCCGATGGGACTAGAGTTTGACATAGTCTATGCTTACCATTAAATGGCAAGCCCGTCTCATCAAACACCAACGACGAAGTCGAACAGAATTACTTTGGGTGAGTTTGTGTGTGAGGGCAGATAACTTGTGAAAAAACAAGACAATACTTCCATGTCCTGTGACAATTTGAATTTGAATCACACGCTAAATCCCCGAAATCAGATCCTGGTGAGGCCGGTACGTTAGGCGAAGCCAGACACTCACCCCAAGGCCCAAAACCCCAAGCCCCCATGCACACCCTGCAATTGCCACTCCGACCACCCCGGCGATCGGCGCAAAGAAAAAGGCAAACGCCGAAAGACTGCCCAGGCACCTTGGCAGAAGCAAAGCTGAAGGCAATTGACTTCGGGAAGTGGTTGCGGCAACTTTCACGACGACTACCACTGCCACGACCACGACACGACCACGGCCACACCACTCCCCTCCCGCCCCCCGCCACCGACCATCTGCGACCTGCTACCTACTACC